TTACCATTATTACCTCCATTGTCGTAGCTTTGAACCTCATCTTTCTATTATGACTACTCTCAAACTGCCTGTGGAACATGCAACCAAACTGGTTTACAGTGTAAACATTTGTATTTTTTTTTCCATTTGTGATTTGTAATCTCTGTATATTACTTGCAACACACCCACCTATTGCACATACTAAAAAAGGAATTACTTGTGCAATTTAGCACCTATTTTTTTTATTCTTTGAGGAACCGAAGAATCAGGCCCCAAATTGGTGCAAACTGAAAGTATTAATTTAGAAAAAAAAATGTAAATAGTAAATAAAGCATTGTTTTGCAAATTTTGACAGGTCCAAAATATAGCAATTCTGGTTACAAAACCAACATTCACATGGAAGGTTTCTGCACACATAGGAATAAAATGTTGAAGTCATATGAGACAGAGTTAACGAAATAACAAGATTAAAGTAGCTCTCTTATAGCACTCGGAAATGGCTTCTTCTTGGAATTACATTTCTCGTATTTGACCGAAAAAGAAAAAATTATTATAATAATTGGTGCCAACAACTGTCTCAGATGTGATATATTATTTGTTTGTTTTTATTTTTTCTTCACATACAGTAATTGTATCATTTTTTGAATATTTGCTGATCTAAAATATCCCTAAAAATTTTGTTGTTTCTAAGTGGAAAATGTAATATTTTTTTACCTCTGCCTTTACCCACAATCACAGCTCCCTTTTCTGTGGGAGCATTCTTCACTGCAAAGATGGCAGCCCTAGTTTTTATATTAATGTCATGCAGTCACCGTAAAAAACATTTGGAATTATGCCAAAGCACTGCAACCATAAATTGATTTACATAATTTAGAGTTTTTTGTTTGTTTGTTTATTTTTTTTAATAAAACAAGATAATAAAAAACATATTTCAGTTTTTAAGTTTTTTTATTGTCCTGAGCCTTTCAGTATTACCCTTCCAGTTTTTTTCTATTAAGATTCTGATTTGAATTGGATAATGTCAGTATACAACTTTTACATAGATTTGATAGTTAAGAAAAATATGCACTCTCTAGTTATGGAAATTTGCAATAACTCTAGGCTATAAGAGCTAAAGAAGTCTGAGAATGATAGTCTTACTTTAGCTTCTGATAGGAATGATCTCAATTGTACTGTGACTCTCATCAGCAGACCTCTGTTTTAATAAATATTTTCCACGGCATAGTATTTTCATTATGAGTTTCAGTACCGCAGGTATTAATTATTCAAGATAAGAGCGTGAATAATTTTCCAGAGTGCCTAATAAACGTATTCATATAATTTTTTTCACATCTTGTCACTTTAAAACCGCACTCTGCTGTACTTAGATTGATTAAATACGTAAGAACAGTACAAAGTGATAATAAAGTGGAAGGAAACTTATAGATGGTTTTACATTTTTTCCTTTACAAATAAAATCTCATTGTTCCCACATGTTTATTCAGCAACCTTTACTCTGAAAACCCTGAAAACTATTAATTTCAAATAATTGCATTCAGAACTCATCTAATTAGCAAATAACAGCCACCTTCTACTAAGTTTTTTTTTTTGAAGAACATTAGTGATCAAAAAGCATCATGAAGATCAAAGAACAGACTAGATAGCTTAGATGATATATATGTGCAGAATTTGAAAGTAGGGTTAGGTTATAAAGCAATATCAATATCAATCAATTGAAGATGGGAAGAAAAAATGGAACAGCAGCAAAATCCCTATAACTATCATTCCATGCAAGGAGTGCAATACCCATCTTAGAAACCATAGCTGTTAAGATTAGCTTTTTACTAGGCTGTTTTTGTCTTTTTTTAAGTGTGAAAAAAATGATTGTTTAAAATATAAATACTCTTAAATAGTGGCCTACACTTTTTCTAAGCCTATAGCACTAGTAAAGACACACCTCAGTGCTTCTAACTAGAGTAATACCATTATTACACTCTTTTCCTGAGGTTGCATCTATTTCCTCATATAATGCCTCCAGCATTAGTGGAGCAGAGCACATAGTGCTAGGGGGAAAAGAGGAGGCATGTAGTGCAACTAAAGCTCTAGAGAGTAAGTCATGAGGCAAGGAAGCTTTGAATTGTGCATAGCATAAGACAAATGTAAAGTGCTGATTATAATTTGACGATTTTGAGTTTGAGGTTATTCATTTAGGGGAATGTACAAAAACATTAATCTCGGTAGAAAACATTTGCACTGAATCAGATTTAGCCACCTTAAGTCTTTATAGAAGGTAAAATATAAAATGCCTTTAAAAAGAAAGGCAGAAAGAAAATGCAACTACAAAAACATAATTGCAAACTTAATACTGCTTTAGATTCTCTTTCTTTTAAAACATACTTTACTCATTCTTATTTCATGAGGAAATTCCCCAAAGCTTTTCCCAAAGATGTTCTTAATCTATCTATGCTCTATTTAAAGCTGCTGGATAATTTTCTTAAAGGAAGTGGTAAAAAGGCCCTGCATGTCATAAAATAAAACTCGAGACATAAATAACTGGCACGAAAACATAACACGAATAAAGGAAGAATAGTGATATAATATAATGATTTGGCCCTGATAGCTGGGCTGAACCGTATATATAGCAGAGGAAGCAGGTCAATAAGATGATCATGAAATGATCATGGCGAACCCGCTTGGGACAAGCGTGAAGGAAAATGGATGGATGGATGGATGGATGGATGGATGGATGGATGGATGGATGGATGGATGGATGGATGGATGGATGGATGGATGGATGGATGGATGGAAGTGGTAAAAAGTGTCTTAATATCTGTGAGATGATGTCTCACAATCCCCTGTGTTGGCGAGGACAGTAACTCCTTATAACACTGCTTTATGCATCTTCTGTCGTGACCCTGTAGAAGAGAGAGTTTGTGGCATCTTAAAGATTTCTTTCTATGATAAACGTCTTCTTGCCCTTCTTCCATAAATAGATTAAGTTCTGACATAATGTTCACATACCTGAGCTATAGATAACTGCTGCTCCTCTGGTGTTAATTGGTAGTTCCTTTGCCTGGCCTTTCAGTTTATATTGATGGCCATGCCATGGTAGTAGAGTTTTGGAAGACTAAAGGGTTAACCGTCTAACCAGGTAGTCATTGGGTGCATCAGATATTAAAAAGAATATAAGTGGCATGGTGGCTGCTTTGTGGCATGGTGTGGTAACAATTGTCTAATCCTGAAGGGAAATAAAACAAGGGCTACAATCGTAGATTTCAGAAGAAACAGCAAAAAAATTAAATACTATTATTATTACGGCAGAATAAATGGAGATAGTAGAGGAGTTTAAATATCTGTGTTCATTTGGACAACATGCTAGAGAGGAGACTGAATTGTGAAGCTGTCTACAGGAAAGGACAAAGTAAACTATACCACTTAAGAATGCTTATGTCCAGTTTAGTTTTTGCAGCAAGATGCTACATAGCTTTATAAATCTGTTTTGAAGATTAGGATCTCATCTGCCATCATCTGTCTAGCTACATCTATCAATATCTACAACAAGTTATTAAAAAGCCCTGTGAGAATTACAACAACATCTAGTTTCCTTTTGGGGTGAATAAAATAAATGTAATTTTATTAATATTATATTTAACTGCAGTGAATTGAATTTGGTTCCACTGAGTTTTATTTTTGGTTGACAGAGCAAAGGTTGAGTAAAATTTCCCATCATACTTTAAGTATATTTCAAGGATTTTTATTAGCAGAAAAAAAAAGACAAAAACAAAAGAAGAAAACATCGCACAATCTTTCTTCCACTACCCTAAAACGTTGTTGGTCTAGCACAGTCTTCCCAACCCTGTCCCACAGGACCTACTGTTCTGCATGTTCTAGGTACAGTATTTTGATACCACCACCCACCTGGGTTAAATAAAGGAGTGATTAATAGGCCTCTGCAACCCTTGATGGCTTCTGAGGATGTAATGCCAATATTTGTATTAGATCTCCAGAGAACATATAGAGTAGTAGAGCATATACTGTAGAAGTGGGACCTCTAGGCATGGATGGGAAACACTGGTCAGTCACAAAAAATTCTAGTAAACTATGTTGCTGTTTGTTTTGTGATATGACAAAATGTGATAAAAATTTTGAGGAGAATTTAAAAAAATATATATGAAGTGATAAGAAAAAGAATGACTAACATTGTATTTCATCAGTAAGAGGTCATGTGTAACTCTGATTGTCTCGTCTTATTTGAAAGAAAAGTGAAGCTAGTGATCTCAATTTTGACAACAACAGTTTAAAATTGTTCAGTTTAAGGACTCATCGAGATAAATAGAAATTGTTTAATATTTCAGACTTTTAGGAAAAATAAGCATGTATCAAAAGATGGGTGTCTTTTAGGGATTCAGGATTTTAACACACACATAATGTGAGGGATTTTTGGTCTGTACTATTCCTTAAATTCAGACAGACAATCAATAATACGAAGCTAGCACCTGCAATAACCACTGATAACTTTGGCACTTTTTTAATGTTAAAGGAACAGAGCTCTTTGATATTGAATGTGTTTTTTGGAAAGAGGTTATACCTATTTAATTTTAACCTTGATAAATGTCCCCTCATAGAGCAGAACTTACATCTTTTCCATCTCTGTATATTGTCCTGTTAAGTATGAATCTAAAATATGCAATGCTTTTCCTTTTCCATTCAGAGAGATTCTACTAAAGCTTTAAAGGTATGGCACAGAGCCGGATTCTCTACCATGCAGCCCATCTAAGCCTTTCACTCATTATGGCCATATGGGTAAACAAAAATGACTCAGCAAAAGCACAGAGCAGCAATAAACCAAGCTTTCAGATGAACTGTGGCTTTGAATAAAAAATGTATAGCTTTTGGACTTTTTATAGGTGGGCATTGCTGTCAAGAACATTTTCACGATGAGCCAAATGTGTCGCAGACATAAACAGAATATTTTCACGTTGGTTTAAAGATTGAACAAAGAGCCCTGAAATAGCTTTTTACTCAACAAGAGGAGATCTTACTTGTGCACTTTTTCAGCCCAGACCCTTTTTTCACTGCATGACGGCTGAGTTTGCAGTTGAAGTTGTTCTCCCAGAACTCAGCAAACCAGATATTCCTTCTGTTGTTTTCCAGTGTTCGGCTGATGAAGTACCTATCAAACCCTGAAAAGATTAAGGAGTTCATTGTCACAGGTGCAGCCTTGAAACATTAAGATGGTAACACCTCTGAGCTATGACTATGTTATCAAATTAAGTAGAATTCAGTGTGGTCTGTAAATCATTATACATTTTATACAGTGAGGAAAATAAGTATTTGAACACCTTGCTTTTTTGCAAGTTATCTCACTTAGAAATCAAGGAGGGGTCTAAAATTGTTATCCACTGTGAGAGACATAATCTAAAAAGAAAAATTCAGAAATCACAATACATGATTTTTTTAATATTTATTTGTATGATACAGCTGCAAATAAGTATTTGAACACCTGTCTATCAGCTAGAACTCTGACCCTCAAAGACATGTTAGTCTGCCATCAAAATGTCCACCTCCACTCCCTTTATTATCCTAAAATAGATGCACCTGAGGTCGTTAGCTACATAAAGACACTTGTACACCTCATACAATCAGTAAAAATCAAACTACTAACATGGCAAAGATCAAAGACCTGTCCAAAGACACTGGAGAAAAAATTGTACACCTCCACAAGGCTGGAAAGGGCTATGGGAAAACTGCCAAGCAGCTTGGTGAAAAAGGTCCACTGTTGGAGCAATCATTAGATAATAGAAGAAGTTAAACATGACAGCCAATCTCACTTAGAATGGGGATCAATACAAGATTTCACCTCGTGGGGTCTCAAGGATCCTAAGAAAAGTTAAAAATCAGCCCAGAACACATGGGAGGAGCTTGTTAATGACCCAAAAAGATCTGGGACCACTATTTCCAAGTTTACTGTTGGTAAAACAATAAGATGTCATGGTTTGAAATCATGCATGGCACAGAAGGTTCCCCATGCTTAAACCTGCACATGTCAAGGCCCATCTTAAGTTTGCCAATTACCATTTTGATAATTCAGACGAGTCTTGGGAGAAGGTCATGTGGTCAGATGAGACCAAAATAGAACTTTTTGATCACAATTCTACTTCAACCACATTTGGACCAAGTAGAATGACGAGTAACATCCCAAGAAAAACATCCTTAATGTGATGCATAGGGGTGGTAGTATCATGCTTTGAGGGTGTTTTTCTGCACATGGGACAGGGCGACTGTACTGTATAAGGAGAGGATGGCCGAGGCCATGTATTGCGAGATTCTGGGGAACAACCTCCTTCCCTGAGTTAGAGCATTGAAGATGGGTCTAGGCTGGGTCTTCCAACATGACAATGACCCAAAGCACACAGCCAGGATAACCAAGGAGTGGCTCTGCAAGAAGCATATCAAAGTGCTGGCGTGGCCTTGCCAGTCTCCAGACCTAAACCCAATAGTGTCAGAGGCAACCAAAGAGGATTCAAATGCAAGACTCAACTTAGGGAAAGGATGTCAAAAAGTCATTTAATACGCTACTGCACAATGAGTGGAGCAACAGGCACAAATCTAAAAAAAAAAGGCCTGTCAAAAAAAACAAGGAAAGAGCAACAGGAAGTTCAAAAAACAACTGAGCTAGACACAAAATGACAAAATGGAAAGAAAGAAACTAATCAGCAGAGCTGCATGTGGCAAATAGAGAATCTTTGGAGGGAGCTCAAACACAGAACCCTGACTGATCCAGAGAAGATCTGTGTGGAGGAGTGGGCCAAAATCCCTCTCACAGTGTGTGCAAACCTGGTGAAAAACTACAGGAAACGTTTGACCTCTGGAATTGCAAACAAAGGCTATTTTACCAAATATTAACATTGATTTTCACAGGTGTTCAAATATTCCATTTGCAGCTGTATCATACAAATACATACAAGTTAAAAAAGTCATATATTGTGAATTATGGATTTTTTTAGATAATGTCTCTAACAGTAGACATGCACCTACAATGACAATATCAGACCCCTCCACAAATTCTAAGTGGGAGAACTTGCAAAATAGAAGGGTGTTCAAATACTTATTTCCTAACTACTATTAAACATTGTAAAAAAAAAAAAAACTGTTTTCCTTTGAAGCAACAGAAAATTACCCAGAGCTCACATAGAAAATAATATTTCATTAAAATGTGCACAGAGTTGTAGAGCAAGAACATATGATTTTTGCACAATTCTCACACTGATACCTTTGATGGACTGTCGCTTCGGTAAGATGGTGACGGCTCCCTCTGCCATCTCCTCCTGGTGCACAACCGGAGAGATCTTTGAGCCCCAGCTGTCTGAACCCACCCAGATAAAATGACCTGTCTGGTTGGCCTTTTTTGCTGCATGGAGAAGCCGCCTGCGAAGGAAAAGAAACAGATGTTGCCTTGGATAAGGTCAGCATCCTAACCTGCTTCGCTTTGATTTTGGTTTGTTACACAGTCGGCAAACACACAGGTAGAAACATTTTTTTTTTCTGTTGTAGTCCCGCTTTTCTTATCTTCAAAGCACTATAACAGTATGTAGCTATAAGCAGGCTTTACCTGATATCGTCTTCGTTGGCAAAGAGTATGACAACCCTTGCATTTGGATTTTCCCCAAGTCTTTGGATGATCATGTCAAACTCTCCCTGTTTAGGTTCCCGGGGAATCTTAACAGACTGTGAGATGCACACACCACCTAAAACAGAAACATTTAAAGTTCTGTTATATCCCCTGATTAATTCACATCAAAAAGGAACATTACAGAAATGTAAACATTCATTATTTATTAACAGAAACAGGAGTTTATGTAGGTTTTTTTAAATAAATGTTCATCAGGGCATTTTAAAAGTGACACTAAAAGCAATATCCATTATAATTTATGTTTTATAGGTATTATTTTTCACCATTTTAAGTTTGAAATAGATTTATATATGTCACTCATATTATTCCCAATCAAAATATTGTGCTTACTCTGTCAGTCATAATCAAAATATTAATCTAAATATGCAATACCTGCAGTTATCACTCTTATATTTTTTTTTTGTAATTTTGTATGAAATAAAAAACATAATGTACTCCACGTTGAACATTTTATTTATGTTATGTTTGGACATACTGGGTGTAGTATCATTATTTGAGAAAGAGCATTTAGGAATGAAATGTAAATGTGAAAGGGATTCCTTTATTCTGTTGATGCTTTGATTCTCTACAACAGCAGGAATGTGATGCTGTTGCAAACTTTGTCCAACAGTGCAGAAAGATCTGCTTTGCAATGCTCAGGTGAAAACCTACATTTTAAGAAACAAGACACATTTCAGTTTCACTGCAAAAAAAAACTCAAAACTTATCAAAAATTTACCTGAATCTACAGTAAACATGTATTTGGTGTAATTTTAGAAAGACTTGTGTGCATTACCATAAAAGCACAAGATATAATCGATGAACAACAAATTAATTAGTCACACATTTCTCATACTTGGCCCAGTCTGGTGTTTATGCACCACCCACATTCATGTCTGGATACAAGGCTCCCACACAGAAAGGAACTCAATCGGTCAATGAGTTGTACTCAAAAGATCCAACAGATTAGACTCAGCAACTCTTCTGTAAGTACGGGCAAATCCAGAAGAGAAAGAAAAATATATAGTTGGTGTAAAATTAGTAAACATTGAAAAAATAGTTTAAATGTAGTACTGCATTTGAAATATATTTTTAGAAAAAAAAAAGACTGATGTTAATACCATCATTTGTCATGGCCATTGTCAATTTTGAGTGTTACCTTTAAAACAAGAAATGAAAAACTAAACTACAGAAAATGTACATTCATTTTTTTCAGGATCATCAGATGAATTCAGGTTGGTCAGAGCAAGGGAAAAATAACTGTTACATACTGGATTTTTGTAGAGGATGATCTTAATTAAACTGATTCTCAAAAAAAAAGTTCTCTAAACTCACATCAAGTTGCTTGATATAAATGTATGGGGAAATCATATATTTCTGTACATGCATTAGTATTACGGATTTTATGTTTAACTGCATAAATCTGTGACCATGTAACACAAGGACGTTGTTTTGATTCCTGTAAAAATCTGTAAAGACAAAATTATTACTTTAAACGCTGTAACAAGACAAGCAGGAGTGCAAGACTCCTACATGGTTCATAACAAGCAAACATTTTTTTCTTTTCTTATTGAGGGTGTTGGTTCTTATTTAATCCACAAGAGAAGTTAGGAATGTATTATGATCAGAGCGGTATGCTAATTTGTGATTTCAGTTGTTTAAGTTCACAACTTTATAAATCAGCCATACTTAACAGTAAATCACTAAGATGTTAAAAAATCTGAGCTCCATTCTCATGTAGAAACAGAATTAAACAAACATATCCTAAAAAGGATGTATGGTAAAAATCAAACTTCAGCTGTTTTTTAGTTCAAAATTATTGTTATTTTGTTTTTTTGGTATTCTGATGCCTGATATGCATGTTGACTGCAGTTATGACAGCCTTTTATTCTCAGCCATGTGTCTGTGATGTTTTGTCCAGTTGAATTAGATGGCATCCTTTATCAGCCATTTGTTTGCTTAAATTGATGGTTTAAGATGTCACCATAGATGGCTATCCTGGCCTTATTTGGACAAACTCCATGTCTTCCTAGGAAAATAATAGAAACAAATACAAGCTGTTGTATGGGGCTGCTGGCTACAGTGAGGAAGTCCGTCTTTGTGATAAAGATCTGCCATCATATCTCGGACCTCCAAGTAAAGCTATACACTGTGATTCCTTCCAGATTAACTACAACATGCACAGCAGGGTGAATATAAGAGACAGACAAATGGGTAAATATGGTTGAAATGAAAAAATCTTTTCATCCCATGTTTTGGAGGGCACTTTGAGAAGCATTGTTAATTGAATAGTTTAGCTCTTTTATATATGGAACTGGCTGTCCCTCCATGTCCCTTCCTTACTTTAATCACTCAGTCAGACACATTTCACTAAAATACAAGAGACCTTTTGAGCATATGCATAAACTAAACTATCCTAATCTTTTTTATTTATTTATTTTTCTTTGAAACTATGTTCTACTACTTTCTTTTAATCTATGCTATAATATAGAGACTAACTTTTTAGATAATCAGTGGATGACTGTGATGGGTATAGGTGTGTCTGTGTTTGTGAGTTTGTAATGTGTGTGTGACTCTATTTTAGATCCATATGTATGTAATGAATAATTTCGAATCAATTCTAAACTAGACATAAATATAACATTTATTTTCCTGTCTTTTCCTGTAAATGGAAAACCTCCCAGTTTCAGCCATGATTCTGATGCAATTTCAAAACATCAGCAGTATTGAAAAGCTCATTATATTAAAATTAACAGTGAAGCTTAATGCAAAGTGTGATGTACAGTAACTAGGCATCGTATGGCGATCACTTTTCTGAGGTGCATTCAAAACACTTCTCAATGACACCTCTGGTTGAAAAAGTTAAAGCTGTTGAACAGGGTCCAGGGTAATATCACTCACTATACTGTAGAAGCTCTGGTGTCAAGGCAGGCTGGCAGCACCACTCCTTGTTCCTCACTGTTTCAACTAGCATGATCTAGTGATGTCTTACCTCCACCATGCTATCTGCTCATTTTTTCCCCAAATCCGTTATCCATCTGCACCTAGCATTCTTCCCAAACTATCCCTGAGGTCCCCTGCAGGCAAAAAACCTTGAAAACGTAGGTAGGCCTATGAGGAACCAATACTTAAAACCCTTAAAACATTATATTCTCCCTGTGATATTTTTTCCGATCTCTTAAACCATTTTGTCTCAGCAGTTGAATCAACTAAATTATCTTAAATTACCTCTCTGTACTCAAGATCAGATAAACTGCCTACAAAAGCAGTGTTTCCATCATACTGAAATTTGTCAACTTTTAAAAGTGCAAAACAAAGGAATTGCATATTTGTGGTATTTTCATTTGGTTTGATGCAAATCAACCAATCTCTGCAATAGCATCCTATGTTGTTGTCCATATGATGTCTAAAATTCTCTTAAAGATTGTCTAGAAACAGGCAACAGTCTTTCTTTTTGTAAATAAGGTTTTGGGAATCTTCCAGTTAGTAATACAGTTAGTAATATAATCTGTGATTTTTTTATGTTGTTTTTCTTTTTTTATTTTTACCCCCATTTAAGTTCCTTTTAAATTATTAATGATTGGTCTGTATAATAAAATGCTTTTGTGTGTAAAATGTCTTAGAAGAGAAAAATAATTTAAGGTACACTGTTTTTTGCCATTTTAGTGAAAAAAGCTCAGGCAGACAGTGAAAGTGCTTGTGCAAATGATGAGCAAAATGAAAGGTTCATTCATTTTTATTCAGACATAATAGTTTTTCAACTGTTTTTGGTTTTTTAAACCAATACAAATTAGTCACATTAGCCAAAATATGTGTTGTGTTTTATCACAACGTTCAAATGTCTTAGGTGGGTCTTAAACTATTAACCTAAAGAGTGGAAGTCCATCTCTTACAGCTGAACCCAGTAACATAATGACAGTTCTTCAGATAGCAATACTACTAAAAACCCATTATTTCTGTTACCAGTGGCTTGCTCAGATTTTGATCATTACATTGTTTAATCTAACCAAACTAGTTTTGAACCATTAGATTGGTTGTTTTTCCAACCAAGCTATTCTTAGAATATATCTAAACTCTATCCAGCTCTCTTACAAACTCCCACATCTTGACTGATACAGAGGCTGTTAAAATGCCTGTCAAAGTTCCAGGCGAGCTGAACCACTTCCCGAAGGGGTCACATGGTATGGCAGGGTAGAGAGGCTTTGGACGTCATTTATTTTGGCTCCTTACCCAAATGTAGCAAGCCTTGATACGCACCTTGCGGAAATGCCTCGGCTCATCTCATAACATCACTACACAGCACTGAGTCTGCCCATTTAAAAGTGTTTAATTATATTTTCTTAGCTCCTGACGCTGGTGAAAATGCTTTTTTTTTGCTCTTTGACTTAACTACAGCCTTTGATGCAATTGATAATCCTTTTATCTCATTTAGAACATTGGGTGGGGGTCTGTGGAACAGCATTGCAGTGGTTCTGCTTTGAGGGATCAAATATTTTGTGTGAGTCTGGGAAATTCTGTATTCTCCACTGCACCTCTTTTACATGGAGTTCCTCAGGGTTCTGTCTTGGTCCCCCTTCTTTTTTCTCTCTATCTGCTCCCACTTTGATTCATTCTTAGGAATCAATTGCGCCTGATAGTCCACCCTCAGACCTTACCCCTCAATCACTACATAGAATGGGGACTATAGAGTGGACCCCCTCCGGTCCGTTGGAAGCCAGCCAGGTCAAGATCCGCAATGACAATCATATTAAACATGAAAAAGAACATTGAGAAGATCCAGTTTGTCAAAGTAAAATAGGGTAACGACGGATCAGTAACCACTACTAAATACTAAAACAAAAGAAGACTGTTTTATTGGATGCAAACCAACCAGCAAAGGTTATAGGCGTAATAGCTCACTTCATTTGCAAACTAAGTTTTTCTGAAAACTGAAAAATATTATATGTTGTATTTATACTTTACAATTTGTTTTTACTAAGTATAAATCCCTTATGTGTGTATTTATAATATCAGCACAGTGTGACCGAAGGTACGATACTATACATCATCACCTTCCAACAAAGCTGTGAAAATATT